AGGAAAGAGAAGTTTCCTCCATTTTCCTATAACCTTGAAACACAATAGGGGGTTTCTGTTATCAGGAAAATGCCAAAACTCTGGGTAAGGACAGACGGACTGCAGGGACGCCTGGAACCCAGGTATAATCCCAGTTGGATAAGGACAGGTACACTGCTGGGGCACCTGGAATCCAAGGGAGAAACCAAGTACGAATAAGGACAGACACTCTATAAGGGGAGCCTGGAATTCGTACTTAAACACTGTGGATAAGGACAGACACGCTATAGGGGGTGTCTGGAATCCCAGTATTGTGCCAATTTGTCAAAACCAAATCAGAAAAAAGAAAAAACCAGGAGACACCAAATCTGAAATAATAATTAAATCGAAGCTTGAAGAATCTTGGAACAAGAATAATGGAAGGATCCTAACTCTATATTGTAGAAATTAAGAAAACAAAATGGCGACCGGGCCAAAATGGCGGCCTATCTTACTACAGATAGATTGTTAACCCAGTATTGCCACAATTGAGAGAAAGGTAAGCTGTCTGATAATGAGTATGTGTGATATCAGCCCTGATTAGGTTAATTCGCTCCACCAACTAATTAAATCAAGTGCCTTTGACCAAACTGCGGTTTCAAAATGGCCGTCGCGGTCGAGCTAAGGCCCACGAGGCTCAAGATGGCGGTTCCCTGATACAGGCAGGGCTGGGGAAATTATCTCCACCCCCCCGCACTCTCTGGAGCCTCTGCGCACGATCGATCGACAAACAACGAGAAACGGAGCAAAACTGTTTTCCCAAACCTCCAATTAGCCGGCCTCACCGATCGTATCGGAGGCCGAACGCGCGCGCGCACGCACCTCCGATTTCTGAATCGAACGAGGAGGACGAGAAGGCCAAGAACAATCGGGCCACGAGGGCTGCAGCCGCAGCTCCGCGAAGGAAAACGGCATTTAAGGGTAATCCAGGGGCTTCTCCCCCCCCTCTGCCCGAATTTAAATTCACGCCCGAGTCTACGGAGCCGCAGCCGCGAGCTCCGTGAGGCCTATATCTGGAGACCAACAGCCGTTGGCCTCCGATCGGGTTAAAAGGGACTGAGCCGAGCAAGGGAAAGAGTCTTCCCCCCCCACGAGGCCTTTCTCCGCTCGTTTAATCAGCCTACGGAGCCGCAGCCGCAAGCTCCGTTAGGCTTGTGGTATTTGGAGACCAACAGCCGTTGGCCTCCTGTCGGGAGAATAAAAATCCCCGTGTGAGTCACTGCCAGACCCAATCCCAACTCCAAATAAGCAGAAAAGAGACTAACAGCCATTAGTCTCTGTTAGAAATACCTACAGGGAAATTTTTTGAGGGGAGTTTCAAATTGGGTTGAACACTGGGAATGGAAATCCACCAATGACTGTACCTGCCTAGAGCCAAACTTGCAACGTCTGTCCTGGGCAAGATCAAGTCAAAGACTGGAGATCAACGGTCCAGGACGGGCGTGGCAACTTTGGCTGACTTGATCTGATTGGGCAGGAATACAGTCTACTACCCAATGGTGGAGTCTCCATCTCAGTGCTGGAGAAAAATTTGGAATAGTGGCAGGATTAAAAATTAATAGAGAAAAGACTAAAATGTTAGCAAAAAATTTAATTGATAAACAAAAAAGGAAATTGGAAGAGAATTTGGGATTACAAGTAGCAAAAAAGATTAAATATTTAGGGATTTGGCTAACCTCAAGATGTTCCTCAATAAAAGAAGATAATTATACAAAACTGATATTAAAGATGAAACAAGATCTCGAGACTTGGGGGAACCTCCAATTATCACTATTAGGCAGAATCGCATTGATTAAAATGAATATTCTACCAAGATTATTGTATTTATTTCAAACAATCCCAATAAAATTAGAGAAATTTTTTTTTAAAGAATTGGATAAAAT